TTGTGGAAACCATAAAACCCAGAATACGACAAAGTGGTTTTAGGCAGACAAACACAAAGCCAGATAAGGTCACACGTGAACTGTCGGTCTGGGAACCAGTGTTGGCCCATATTACCGTTAGTCAGTGGAAAATCTCTTATGCGAGACCTCATTTGTTGTGCACTTTGCTAACAATCGTCAAAACCGTTGCCTTCACAGATTTTTTCAGGATATCTTCTTAAGACAGAATCGGGCTTTCCGACTGCGCCCTACCGCACTGAATTTAAATCCAGAAAATCAATACTTGTGTTGGATTGGACATTCGAAACACAGAGTCCCCTTCACTGGAGAGAAAAGCTCAAAAGGCCGACGAAAGTGTTCCTAACTGGGACGGGGTTACCGTTGAAATGCGTTTTAGAGTCTGTGACCTTGTTCTCATCTGATGAGTGATCTCTCTTGAATGCAACACAACATTGGTAGATATCACTCTTGTTCTGTCATAATCCGACTGACCTAAAGCAATATTCACAAGTCGCTGATGTGAACAGACCCATAGAACTATTTACATTGAATCAATGCTACTTCGGGATCAACAAACTACGATCATTGTGGGCTGTGTGTTCTTGGTCATATGCCTGCAGCTGTCTCTGAATGCCTGCTGTTGACACGATGACTGCAGTCATTGAATCAGATGCTACTTCGGGATCAACAAACTACGATCATTGTGGGCTGTGTGTTCTGTTCCATATGCCTGCAGCTGTCTCTGAATGCCAGATTGAGAGTAAACTACTAAGTGCCAACAACAGGATATCGTGACTCATTGTTAGACTCATTGTTAGGTAAAATCACCAGTTCCGATCATCATAAGTGCAGCCACCCATAGTTCCTACTTATCGCTTATAGACCGAACCCCCGATATAGACTCTTATGAACACAAGCCACTCCATTGTACACTTTTGAGCATGTATGCACTGACATCGTCTACCTGTGGTGCGACCTCTTGGTGCTTTCCAATGTGGGTTTCCCTGTCCGTAAAGGTTATTGTGGGTTACCGGGCTTATGCCTTCTTCACATGAATATTTGAAAGTTCCTATTAGTGATAAAATGTAAGCATATCAGGTTGGTTTACCCCACCATATGACATTGATCGGCCAGTCAGTTGAGTTAGCAACCGCAAT